CGTGGGCAAGGATGGAGACGGTGCCCAGGTGGAGCGGGAGGGAGCGGACGCTGCCCGTAGGAACCCGAGTGTGTGGTCAGCCGCACAGCAGGGAGGACGGCACAAAGCCAGACGCCTCCGGGCACGGCCTGGCCCTGAGGGCCCAGCAGGCCCATCTGCAGACCGGGAGCCTCCCGTGGCCTGAGGCGTGACCCCAGGGGGGGACCGAGCCGGCAGCGAGTGGCCTGTCCCCCATGGGCGGCCCAGCGGCCTGTGTAGAGACCGGACACCACCCACCTCGCTTGGCCGACTCCCAGGAGGCCTGGCGCTCACCCTGCACCTGCCATCGGGGCCCAGGGAGGAGGCAGAGGCCATCCCCTCCTCGCTCGGCTCCTAAGAGGAGGGGCAGTAAGAGCAGCTCTCGGCTTCGGGTAAGGGGGCGACGCGGGCGGGCAGAGCCGCATCGTCAGAGGGTGCTGGTGCCAGGCGCCTGGGGTGAAGCCCAGCTCTGCTGCGCTGGCTGGACCCCACGCCCTGAGCCTGGGGACAACCCCCAGGCCTCCCAGCATTAGGGGCTCAGTGAGGAAAGGGGAGGTGCCCTATTGTAAGAAGCTGTGCAGGTGGGTGGGGAGGGCGGGGAGCCTCAGGCGAGGGCAGGGAGCCTCCCCGGGCGGCCTGTCGGGGCTGACCTCTGATGACCTATGATGTCAGACAGCCCTGTGGCCCTGGAGAGAACCCCACACCCCGGCCCAGGCAGCCACCACACGCCACCAGCCCAGGCAGCTGGAATGTTGTTTGGTTCCCTGGGGGAGGCGGGACGGCCCGGGCAGAGGTCACTTCCTGCGGCCCCACGCGGTGGCCCCACGGCTGCAGACACTCGGAGGGGGGGCCCGGGGGGCCCGGGCGGCCGCGTGTGCAGTGGGTCAGACAGGGTGCTGGCGCCCCGTGACCTGAGACGGGATCGGGGTGCACACACCGAACCGCCGCACGGGAGACGCGAGAGACTGTCCGTGTCACTTTCTCGTGTGGGAGGAAGCATCCTGCTAGTCACGCACCCCCCCTCCCCCGCACATACGCGCCAGGGCGGTGGGGGAGGAGGGGGTAAGGGCAGGCGCCGGCCAAGCTCCAGGGAGGCACCAAGTGACGGAGCTGACAACGTGGCCCTGTCCCTCGGCCCGCGGTCCTCCCGGGGAGGCCTGGCGACGCGTCCCACAGGCACGCGGGCATTCCATCCGGGAATTCCATCGGCAGGTGCGGGTGGCCGCCCCGCCCGGGGGGAGGGGAAGGACCGTCCCAGGCGTCCCGGGGGAGGGGAGCGCGGAGGCGGAGGGGCAAATGCGTGAAATGCAGAAGCTGCCGCTCAGCACACACCCACGGTGACCCCGCGACCATTAGGGAACATTCAGTCCGACCGCAGGCACGCGAGGCCACATCAGAACGACTGGCCAGCAGGATCAGAGCCTGACTGGTCAGCGCGCTCTTCCTCGGGACGTGACCGGCCGGGACTGGGTGAGCTGGCCACCGACACGGACGCCCACTCGCCCTCAGGAGGCCGGTGCTCAGGGACACGCTGCGTGCGTGCAAGGCGGTGGCGGGCGGGCGCCGTGAGGCCCCACGCCCCGCGGCCCAGCACGTGGCGGCCGCCAGCCCCCCAGGGCAGTGCGCCCAGCGGGTCGGAAAGGAGCTAAAACGCACCCTGGATTGCAAAAGCTTGAGGCAAACGGAACGGAGCGCCAGGCAGGACGCACAGGGCACCTCAGTGGGGCCCGAGGGAGGACCCCCGGAGACCCGAGGATGGACGTCACGGCCACAAAGATGCCCGGGGCCGAGTCAAAGCCCACCCGGGCAGAACGAGACCGCTCTGCTCCGTGGACGCGGAGGGAAGGGCCGCCGGGCCCACAATGTCCCCGAGTGTGGGCTATCGAGGAAGAGCGGGAGCAGGGCGAGTGGGGCCAGCGGGGGGCTGGACGGGTGAGGGCCCCGGCAAAGTCACAAAGTGCAGGGAGAAGGCTGTAGGCAGAGGCCCAGGGCTGCTCCCACCGGAGACAGACACGCAGAAGGGGGTGGGGTGCGGGGAGACGAGCCTGCGGGCATTGGGCGAGAAAGGGCTACTGTGCGGGGAGCTGGCCTGTCACCCACACAGACAGGGGCAGCGCCCCTCACTGCGGCCTCCTCCCCAGGTGCCTTGGGACGACCTCCGCTACCTGTTTGGGGAGATCATGTACGGCGGACACATCACGGACGACTGGGACCGCCGGCTGTGCAAGACCTACCTGGTGGAGTACATCCGGGCCGAGATGCTGGAGGGTGAGATCCAGCTGGCCCCCGGCTTCCAGATCCCCCCCAACCTGGACTACAAGGTGAGGAGGCTTCCCGGGGGACCGCGGGGACGGGTCAGTGCGTCCTGGCCAACTGCCTGGTGAGAGCCTCACGTCATGGAAGGAATGTCAGGAACTGATCCAGAGCAGGAACCAGATGGGGGACTGGGGGCGAGGAAGCACCCGGGAGGGGGCTAGGGCAGCAGTGGGGTGCACAGAGGGTGGGATGTGGGCAGAACATTCTGGTAAGAAGGTCCTTGCTGACCCCACCCCACCCCCGTCTCAGGGTTACCACGAATATATCAACGAGAACCTGCCCCCCGAGAGCCCCTACCTGTACGGCCTGCACCCCAACGCGGAGATCGGCTTCCTGACGGTCACCTCGGAGAAGCTGTTCCGCACGGTCCTGGAGATGCAGCCCAAAGAGACGGACTCAGGCGCCGGCACGGGGGTGTCCCGCGAGGAGAAGGTGGGGGCCTGACGTGCAACCCACCCAGTGACAGTGAAGGGCAGTGTCCGGAGCCCGGGCTCACCAAGTGCACCCCGATTGGCAAAAGCCCCTCAGAACCTGTTAGCAACCACACAACCCCCGACCCTCGGTGACCCCACAGGGGAGGATGCAGGTGCCTGGCTGAAGGTACCAGAAGCTCCCCTGACACAGCCACAGGCCTTGCCAACAGGCCGCGACACCCTCCCCCGTCATGTGTGCTACTGTGCTCTGGCCACGCCATGTGCCTTTGCTCCCGGATTCAGGGCTGGGAACGTGGGCACGGGGCGGGGGGGGCGGGGGGGGACAGGCTCCGGCCCCGAGACCTGACGCGGGCGGCGGGGCAGGCGCGGTGACACCCGCGGGCTGACTCCCAGGTGAAGGCCGTGCTGGACGAGATCCTGGAGAAGATCCCGGAGTCATTCAACATGGCCGAGATCATGGCGAAGGCGGCAGAGAAGACGCCCTACGTGGTGGTGGCCTTCCAGGAGTGCGAGCGCATGAACACCCTGACCAACGAGATGCGCCGCTCGCTCAAGGAGCTCAACTTGGGGCTGAAGGTAAAGGGCAGATGGGTCAGCTGGGCCCGGACGTGACACGGGAACCGGGCTGGCCCCCCAGGCTGACTCACCACCTCAACTGCAAAGAACCACCTACCCCAGGCCACGGGGCGCCTCGGGCCCCTGGCGCGGGCCCCCGAATTCCCTGGTCGGAGCTGTGGGCAACCAGAACCGGCCCTGGAGGGCATCCTGACTGTTCCCAGCAGGAGGCATGGCGTGGCCCCCACGGGCATCTGCAGAAGCACCCGGTGGCCCACACCCCGTGGGAAACCACGTTCCCACGACACAAGTGGGTGGGGCTCTCCCGCCTTGGCGAGAGCAAGGCCCACGACTGGCCGGGTCTGCGTTGCACCGCGTGGTCCAGCCTGGGCCCCCAGCGCCCATCCGTCTGTCCGTCCCTCAGGGGGAACTGACCATCACGACAGACATGGAAGATCTGTCCACGGCGCTATTTTACGACACGGTGCCCGAAACGTGGATGGCCCGGGCCTACCCGTCCATGATGGGCCTGGCAGCCTGGTACACGGACCTGGTGCTCCGCATCAGGGTGAGGATGGGGTCCCTGGCCTCAGGGCACCCCCCTGTTCCCAGAGCCCGTGGGAGCACGCTGCAAGGGGGTGTGTTCTGAGGCCTGCAGGCCCGCGGGCCTGGCCTTCGTCAGAGCAGGGTCGGGAGGGTGTGCCCATGCCCACAGACGCCGACAACGCAGGCCCTTCCTCCCGGGGAAGGAGAACAGCTGCCTCCTGGGCATGGAGGGAGCTCCCGCCACCGCGGCTCAGGGACGGAAGCAAGGCCTCTGCTGGGTCCCCAATTCTCCCTTCGTGGCCCTACTGTCCCCATCCCTCAGACGGGGCGACAAGAGAGCGGTGGCACAGGGGGCAGCGGCTGTACCATCTGCCGTGAGGCCCTGGCGCTCGGCTGAGACCCCTCTCCTCGCAGGAGCTGGAGGCCTGGACCACGGACTTCGCCCTGCCCACCACCGTGTGGCTGGCCGGCTTCTTCAACCCCCAGTCCTTCCTCACGGCCATCATGCAGTCCATGGCCAGGAAGAACGAGTGGCCGCTGGACAAGATGTGCCTCTCGGTGGAGGTGACCAAGAAGAACCGAGAGGACGTGACCGCGCCCCCCCGAGAGGGCTCCTACGTGTATGGACTCTTCATGGAAGGTAGGCGCCGTCCGGCCCAGAGCCCAGCGCCCGCCGACCACGGGCCATGCGCCTATGGGGGGTTCGCGGAGCTGGCTGGACAGTGACGGGGCCCAGGGACAGGCCGAGACAGGGGTCCAAGGGGACAGAAACAGGCACAAGAGGCAAACGCAGGCCCGCCCTCACCCTGAGCGCCAGTCTGGGGAGGGGCTCCGCCCTTCCAGGCCTGGAAGCAGGGCCCAGGGCAAGTGCATCTGACAGGTGAGCCACAGCCCCTGTGCTCCCCCCGCCCACACCCCCCCACCCTCTGCTGCCCGGCACAGGTTTCAAGGGAAGGGGGCCTGGCTGTCCACCTCCTGGGAGCCTGGCGCCAGCTGCCCGAGGGGCCAAGAATGGGCAGGAGGGGAGACCGCCGGGTCAGCCCATCTGCCACACGCAGGCCTGCCCCCCGGCAGGTGGCATCTCCCCTCCCCTCCCTGGGGGCCGGGCCCGTTCCCACACCACAGACCAGCTCAGCAGCCATCTCCACGTTTATTTTGGGATCACAGATGGGAAGATAAACATCACTGAACAGGGAGGAAACACCAGCGGCCTGGATGGAGGCAGCAGTTGCAGGCGGATGCGGGGCGGGGGCGAGGGCGGGGGCGGGCGGGCAGAGCAATGGCCGCCTGTGGAAGCAGCTCCAGAACATCCCGTGTGAACGGGTGGAGCGCGGCGGCGAGCTGGGCCCGGTGCCCCGTGGGGTGCGGGCGGTCACACAAGCCCCGACGTGTCCCACTCACGACTCCATCTTCAGCGATTCCTGTGCCCCTGCCCCGGCCCAGGCCTGTGCGCTGGGGCGGAGCCAGCCAAGCGGCTCTCCCTCCGGCCCTCCCGGGCTCACGGCCGCACTGCCCCGCAGGCGCTCGCTGGGACACGCAGACCGGGGTCATCGCCGAGGCGCGGCTGAAGGAGCTGACGCCGGCCATGCCCGTCATCTTCATCAAGGCCATCCCTGTGGACCGCATGGAGACCAAGAACATCTATGAGTGTCCCGTGTACAAAACACGCATGCGCGGCCCCACCTACGTCTGGACCTTCAACCTGAAGACCAAAGAGAAGGCGTCCAAGTGGGTGCTGGCAGCCGTGGCGCTGCTCCTGCAGGTCTAGCCACTCCCCGGCCAGGCCTGACCGTCATCGCCCTGGGACTAGCATGGACTTACAGGAACTGAGGGCTGCTGTCTGTCAACACGGTCAGGGCCCGTGAACGCGTGCGCACCTGACCAGCCGGACGGCGAGGGGGGGAGGGGTGTTGCATTAAAACCACTGAGTTACTGAGCTGTGCCTGCCTGTCCCCTGGGCCGGCCGTCAGCTCCACGCTGGTGACCACAGGGCCTGGCCCATGGCACAGGCGTGGACACAGGGCTGGAGTCCCAGCAGCCAGGGCAAGTGTCCCAGGCTGACTTCCCAGGAGGGCCAGTCAGTTAAGTTCTTCCCACCGGCAGCTGGGAGGGAGGGTCAGGACCAGCGGCCGTGCCCCTCAACCAGGTGCTAGGTGCCGATGGCCCAGTGAGGGGACAGGTGTGCCCCGTACACAGGAGCGGCCACCTCCAGCCCCCGAAGCATCATCCACCCCTTCTCCGGGGGAGGACTCTCTCGGCTATGGCGATGCCCCTCCACACGCAGGTGCCATCTCCACGCAGCTGAAGTGCGTCCCCACCAACTGCCCACGTCCACACGGGCTGAGCATGGACTCGGTCGGGACCAGCTTAGCCGTGTGTGCTGGGAGCTCACAGGCTTCCACACAGAACCCCACACTGGGCAGCAATTCCGTCTTCCTCATCTCTGTCCCGTCCTGCACGCCTGGTATCTGCCCCACAGCCTAACTCAAAGCCGGGGGCCCGGAGGGGCCGGGAAGAGGGGAGAGAAAATCACCCCTCAGCCCTCCCTCCTGGGCCCAGAGGGTGGGCTGCAGCCAGGAAGGCAGGAGTCCAGGCCAAGGAGCCCAGGTGCCCAGCAACCACCTCTGCTGGCCAGGAGGGGTCACTGCGGTCCTTCCGTCCAGGCGCGAGGGACAGGAGATGAAGGCCAGTGGCCACCAGGCCCTCCTGTCAACCCCCAATAACCACCCCACGGGGAGGTTTCCCAAGTCTGCCTTCGGGGCCTGAAACTGTGCTCATTCCCACTACACACTGGGGGCTGCCTGCATTCTCTCCAAACTTCCCCGTGGGATCGTCGGTGACAGGAGAGCAGGACGGGTAAACCTGCCTGCGTCTCAGCACTTGGCCCTGCGCCTGGCTGAGGGGAGCCGGGGAGCCAGGGGGCCGGGGCTGAGGTCGGGAGGCAGCCGGGGCCATCCTGGAGGTGATTAGCAGAGACGGAGAGGCGCGGGGAGGACAGGCGCAGGGAGGACAGGCCATGGGGAGGACAGGCGCGGGGAGGACAGGCCGCGGCGGGGAGGACAGGCGCGGGGAGGACAGGCCGCGGGGAGGACAGGGCGCGGGGAGGACAGGCCATGGGGAGGACAGGCCGCGGGGAGGACAGGCGCGGGGAGGACAGGCCGCGGGGAGGACAGGGCGTGGGGAGGACAGGGCGCGGGGAGGACAGGCGAGCGCGGGGAGGACAGGCGAGCGCGGGGAGGACAGAGGAGCGCGGGGAGGACAGGCGAGCGCGGGGAGGACAGGCCATGGGGAGGACAGGCGCGGGGAGGACAGGCCATGGGGAGGACAGGCGCGGGGAGGACAGGCCATGGGGAGGACAGGGCGTGGGGAGGACAGGCGCGGGGAGGACAGGCCATGGGGAGGACAGGCGCGGGGAGGACAGGCCATGGGGAGGACAGGCGCGGGGAGGACAGGCCATGGGGAGGACAGGCGCGGGGAGGACAGGCCATGGGGAGGACAGGCCATGGGGAGGACAGGCCATGGGGAGGACAGGCGCGGGGAGGACAGGCCATGGGGAGGACAGGCGCGGGGAGGACAGGCCATGGGGAGGACAGGGCGTGGGGAGGACAGGCGCGGGGAGGACAGGCCATGGGAGGACAGGCGCGGGGAGGACAGGCCATGGGGAGGACAGGCGCGGGGAGGACAGGCCATGGGGAGGACAGGGTGTGGGGAGGACAGGCGCGGGGAGGACAGGCCATGGGGAGGACAGGCCGCGGGGAGGACAGGCGCGGGGAGGACAGGCCGCGGGGAGGACAGGGCGTGGGGAGGACAGGCCATGGGGAGGACAGGCCATGGGGAGGACAGGCGCGGGGAGGACAGGCCATGGGGAGGACAGGGCGTGGGGAGGACAGGCGCGGGGAGGACAGGCCGCGGGGAGGACAGGCGCGGGGAGGACAGGCCATGGGGAGGACAGGGCGTGGGGAGGACAGGCCATGGGGAGGACAGGGCGCGGGGAGGACAGGCCATGGGAGGACAGGGCGTGGGGAGGACAGGCCATGGGGAGGACAGGCGCGGGGAGGACAGGCCATGGGGAGGACAGGCGCGGGGAGGACAGGCCATGGGGAGGACAGGGCGTGGGGAGGACAGGCGCGGGGAGGACAGGCCGCGGGGAGGACAGGCGCGGGGAGGACAGGCCATGGGGAGGACAGGCGCGGGGAGGACAGGCCATGGGGAGGACAGGGCGCGGGGAGGACAGGCGCGGGGAAGACAGGCCATGGGTAGGACAGGCCATGGGGAGGACAGGCCGCGGGGAGGACAGGCGCGGGGAGGACAGGCGCGGGGAAGACAGGCCATGGGTAGGACAGGCCATGGGGAGGACAGGCCGCGGGGAGGACAGGCGCGGGGAGGACAGGCCATGGGGAGGACAGGCGTGGGGAGGACAGGCCATGGGGAGGACAGGCGTGGGTAGGACAGGCCGCGGGGAGGACAGGCGCGGGGAGGACAGGCCATGGGGAGGACAGGCGCGGGGAGTACTGGCCATGGGGAGGACAGGCACGGGGAGGACAGGGCGTGGGGAGGACAGGGCGCGGGGAGTACTGGCCATGGGGAGGACAGGCGTGGGTAGGACAGGCGCGGGGAGTACTGGCCATGGGGAGGACAGGCGCGGGGAGGACTGGCCATGGGGAGGACAGGCGTGGGGAGGACTGGCCGCGGGGGGCGGACAGGCGCGGGGGGGGAAGACAGGCGCGGGGGGGACAGGCGGGGTGGCCGTGGGAGCCCGTGACTGCTCTGGTCCCACAGAACCTGCAGGAATGTGAGCGCTGTTTACCAAAAGCCTCTCTCCGAGCAGACACAACCCGGGCAGCATTCTTTGGGCTTCTCTGGTCTGATGGGCCCTCAGGACAAGTGAGTAACTAGTTGGAAGCAAACAGCTGACTGAGGTGCAGTGGCCCCGGGCAGTGGCTGCCTCCCAGCCTCAGCCCTCAGGCGGCAGGGCTCTGGGCACGCAGATGCCCTCGGTCTACCACCAGCCGCCCAGCACTGGAGCCCCCGGGGCCTGTGGAGGGGACGTCAGAGCCGCCAGAACCGCCAGAGCCACCAGTCCCTGGGAGGGAGCCGTGACACCGGCCAGGCTACGTGCAGGGACAGAACCCACTTTGTCCCGTCCCTGCCCCCGGTCTGCAGTCTGTGCCCGAAGATGCGGGGGGAGTGGCAGGGCTTTTATAAATGCCCAGGACACGGAGAAGGGGACACGGAAATGCTGCGAGTGAGCCCAGTAAAAAGTTTCAGGTGAAACATTAAGGAACCCACAGATTGGAAGAGACTCAGAGGCCACGTCCCCAGTCACAGGGCGCGGACCTCAGTCAGAGGCAGCAAAAGACCGAACTGAGATAGAAACACTGACAAGGCGACTGGGACTGCGAACACCTCTGGCATCTGATGGCACCGAGGAGTTCCTGCGGACGTTTCAACCAGGCACAACGTGGTCTAATGGTCGGGGTGGGGGTTGAGGGTTTATATTCTAGGGGGACCCAGGGGAACCCTCGCTGTAAACACAGCTCCAGGCTAAAAACGCCGGCCACAGCCCTCACTCATCTCCGACTCCCCTCACTCTCCCTCCCCCACAAGCCAAAGGCCCAAAGTTCCCGCCCCAACCCGGTGTGGCCTGGACCGGTGGGCCAGCTGGGGTGAGAACAGAGGACGGTCCCTCCCTCTAGTGGCAGCCGCACCCTGCCCGGCCCCCTGGCGCCTGGACAAGTCCCCCGCTGCGGGTCCTGTCACCAGCTGCCGCGGAGAACACCGCGCCTCTGCAGGCACATGGCACAGCAGTGCCAGGGAGACGGGCACAGCCCCGAGGTCTGGCTCCCATGATCTTGCCTGGCGGTCTCGTCCGGTGAGCCACGGCTGCATGGCGGCAAGCCGGACCTCCCCAAGCAGAGGGCACCCTCCCCCACTCCTCCTGCCTCTGACCCACGTGCGGCTCCGAGCAGGGAACACAGAACCACCCGTGACGCTGACCCCGCACGGCCGGGCCTGGACTCGGTGGAGGCACCCGACAGAGGGGACGGGCTCATTCAGCAGCGGGCGCCGCACACGCTGTGCCCGTCCACGCCCCGAGACACTCGTATGTGACCAGCGAGCTGACCCGCTGGGGCCGAGGGACCACCTGCCCCCAGCGACCCAGCGCTGTGCGGGGGGGGGGGCGCGCGGCACCGGAGGCATCACCTGTGTCCTCAGAAGAAGTTCTTGATCAGCGGGGTCACCATCTTCACCCACAGCTTCACCTGCCGACCGGGCTGCTGGAAGGTGGCGGGCGACACCACGCTCGAGCGCAGGTAGAGCTGCGCCTGCTCCTGAGGACGAGCACAGGGTCAGGGTCCCGCGGGCGGCCAGCCCGCCCCCCAAAGCTTCCTTAGAAAAGCCAAGCCGCGCTTCTAAACGTGACCCACATGAGGTGGAGCAGGCGCGTCAGAGGGAGAGCCAGCTGGAGAGAACAGCCCCTCTGCCCTCGCTCCCAAGTGCTGCCCTCTGAGGAGGACGTTCTAACGGAGACACTTCTCTCGTTGGCAAAGGCTTGTGGCGCCGCTGGAACACGGGGCAGCCTCACTGCACACGGCAGCCCGGGCTCGGCCCCACAGAGGAAGGGCCAGCGTCTCCAGCTTTTCTCAACTTTTCCCATGAACGGTTATCACGTTCAGACTTAAACCCAGTTAAACGCTTTTCTAAGCCCAGTCACTAACTGCACTCGGTCAGTGAAGGAGGGAGGGTTTCCTGTTCGCTTTCGCAGGGACTGGGGCCCCTCTCTGGACCCCCAGCCCCTTGGCTGTCAGCTGCCCCAGCCACACTCCCGCGGAGACCCAGCAGCCACGGCCATGAAGGTGCCCGTGCACTGGGGGACCAGCAGCACCAGGGGAAACACTGGGGGCGGAGGGCTCCCGGGGGCGGAGCAAAGGCGCGTCCCTGGCCAGCTCCTGACCCTGCGGAGGCGAGGCCACCGTGCCGGGGAGCACCGCAGACCCGGCCCCCGCTTCCCTGCCAGGGCTGGGGGGACCCCTGCGCCTGGGTCCACACGGCCCCCCACCCGGACGGCCTTTCCTGGCCCAGCGCGAGCCCCGGGTCCTGGCGGCTGCTGCGAGGGCCCCAGCACTGACTGAGGGCCTGACGGACAGGCAGCGTCCGTCTCGAGGGGCTGGTCTGAGAGGTCCCCACAGACTGGCTCAGCCTCTGCTTCAATGAATGTGCAGCCAAGAACTCAATTAAATTAGCAGAAGCCTCAGACTCCACGCAGGAGGAGAAGGAAGTCAGCTGACGGGTCCCAAGGCTGTTCTGGGGTCACGATGGGTAAACCACGTTCTCCGAACAAAACCAGGAAGCTTTCTGCTTTGTTGCCGGTGCTCAGCGAAGGGAGGGACTTCGGGCTCTGACACAATGTCTCCCCACGGTGCCCAGCGTGACCCCGGGCCTTCCCTCCCACGAAGCTCCGTGCACCTGGGCGCAGGCCGCAGCGGGTTTCAGGGACTTTCTGGGCTGTGCTGAGGCCGGTGGCTGGGCAGTCCCGGGCCTCCCCGGGGGCGGCCGCAGTCCCAAGACACAGACACAGGCGGAATTCTCTAGAAACACGCTTCTGCATGCCAGTGTGCCTGAGGACGGAGGAGCCTCCGCGGGGTGGGCTGCCACCCCCACAGTCCACAGCCCCGGGGAGTCAGGTTTGGAAAGAAACAGAAGCTGTCCCAATCATGTCCCTTGGGACAGCAGCTCCCAACCACAACCGCCAGCATTTCTCGAGAACTAGGATGTGGGCTCCGTCCCCTTCCTCAGGAAGTGGGGTGCGGAGCCAGTCCCAGGACCCAGGGCCAAGCCTGGGGGTCGTGCTCCCCCAACCAGCTTGGACCACGGAGACCTTGTCCTGGCCCAAGGCCAAGCTCACACGCACGACTCCGCTGTCTGGGGCTGGACCTCCCGGGTCAAGGCTCCTATGGAGGCCGGCTCTGCACAGGGAGGCAGAAGTCCAGGCCAGTCACCCCGAAAGCGGCACCAGCCGCCCCCGCCGGGCCCGCGGCAGAAACCTGCTGAGCTGAGCAGATTCTGGGGCTCACCCGGACCACGGCCGCTGCCACTTCCTCTCGCCCTTTGCGGAGCCTTCCCGGCACCGAGGTCCCCGGATTGCAGGGCAGATCCCAGGGACGCGGCCGGGCCACTTCCTCCGCAACAAAGGCTCCCACAGTTTCGCAACGGCAATTCCCAAACCGAGAATAAAAGCTTCCGAGACCAGCGAGCTCTGGGCGGCCACCGCGGTGCTGTCTGCGCCACACTCAGGCGACGCTGGAAAGGCCTCAGATGCGCGAGTACCGCCAGGTCTCTGACGCAGGGCCGGTGCTCGGTTCCCGAAAGTCTGCCTGCACTGTCCCCGCTGACGGCACACACGTCGGTGAAGGCACTAGGTCTCCCAGGAACTCTGCTCTCCCCCCGACACCGAAACACCTGCCGCCACAGGGAGGGCAGGGCCCTGTGCAAGCACCGCCCCTTTCTACGGGGCAGGCAGCTCCCTGGTCCTGCTGTGCCCACCTCCAGACCCTGCACGCCTGCCACAAGGAGCCCAGCTCCGGCCTGGCACACCTCCAGGCCCGCAATCCCCAACCAAGCCAAGCCAGACCACCACCCAGGGAAACCACCTGAAATAAACAGAGTCCAAACCGTCGGTGCAAAGACTGACCCAGGGCACACAGATGTGTGAACGGGATATCAGCCCCGTGAGCACCCCCCCCACCCCGCACCGCACCCCCATCTCTGCGGACAGCCTCCTGTCTCCGGCCTCTCCGGCTCCCCTTGCAGATGCTGCTCCCTGCCAGCCCCTCCGCCTGGGGCACCCTCCTCTTGCCTCTCCCTCCCCACTCTCTGGGAAGGACTTTTCCTGAGATGATGGGGTGCTGCCTAAGCTCCTCCCAAACGGGCCAGGACCCGAGCAAGCCTGGCTCCTCCCCTCGCACCCGTCCAGGGGCCCGCGTTCCTAGGAGGGGTTGGGGAGAACCTAGTCTCTCCCTCCAGGAAGCAGCCGAGGAGAGCTGGCCGCTGGGCGCACCCCCACCACTGCCTGGCGAGGGCTCCTCACTGCTCAGTGCCCTCAAGCGACCAGCACCCCCTCCCCGGGGAAACCCCACCTGCAGACCCACCTGGTGCAGCTGCTGCTGCAGGGCCTGGCTCTCCGTCACGATGGCGATCTGGGCCTCCAGGTCCCGGTGCACCGACCTGTACCCAAAATTAGGAGAGCCAATCAAGGTGAGGCAGGGCAGGCCGCTGCCGGCCAGGTACAGCCAGAGGCCTGCGGGAAGAGGAAAGGTGCACAGTGAGCACAGCGGCTCCGCCTCCCTGCTCCCTGAGAGCAGCAGCCCCCGGGCCCTGGGCCTGCTCCCCTGGGATCCCCTGGGCCTGCTCTCCACCAGGTCCCAGGAGCTGCCAGCAGGTGCAGGCACCTCAGATCCGTGGCGGCCTGGCGCCCCCCCCCCAGGTGGCTCCCCGGGACGTCCTTGTTCTCCTGCCGCACTGCACCCTGGGCCCCTCTTGCCACGCCTGACAGGTGGGTTCTTAGAGGTAACCTGGCGGTGCAGGGCTCCCCTCCTCCCAGCTGCCTCCTTACGCCCCTGCCCCCCTCGGCCCCTCCTCTGCCAACATGACCTTTTCAAAGGGTCCCAGCCGAGCAAGACTGTCACGAGCGAGCAGCATGAAACACACACCGAGCTCCTAAAATAGCAGCCATTTCCTAATTCTCACTCAGGGCAAGAGCACTTCCAAGAACATCTTGGGAAAGAGATGACGACGGTGCTTCCTGTAAAGGGCTTGACCCTCCACACGCACACGCACACGCACGCAGGGTCCACATCAAAGCCGCCTGCTGCCCATGTGATCGCTCCATCAACGGCCCACCCACTAGACCACCGCCTTGCCTTGTCAAGAGACCACAAGGTGGCCAGGCTGGCCCTGGACCCTGCTCCAGATGGCCTGGGGGCCCAAGGAAAATGCCGGCTTGTCCTCCGCACAGACAGCAGGCTCAGAGCCCTGTTCCGCCATCACTGTCCTGACCCTTCCGATGCCAAGAGCAGCCCCTAAACCAGTGATGCGCTCAGTGCTGCCTGTCGCCAGCTCCCGGCTGCTCAGAGGCACAGGAGAGGGAAAGGGAGCGGGAGGGGGAGGCTGCCACCCACACAGGTGACACGGCTACGGCCAATGTGGCTCACCCACCTGCCTCCAACCAAGACTCCTGCGCCACAGGGTGCGGGGGCAGGGGGGGAGGGCTGCGGGGGGACGTACGGCTACAGGGCCTGGTCCTAGGGCCCTTGTATTTGTAAAATCTGCACGAACACGGACGGCTTCCTTGCAAGGCAACCTAGGGCTCGGCCCTCACGGCAGGCGGCCCACCCCGATGGGCCCCCCACATGCACTTCTGCTTTGCCATCTGTTCTCATTAGCAACCCCCCCAAACAAGCTTTCTTAGACCCGATTTTCCTAACTGCCACCCCAAACAGATTTATCATCACGCGACACTGCGCACTGTGGGTCTGTGCTGCACAGCGAGGCCCCCGGGCAAGCACGGCACACCACGCTTCCCTCCTCGTCCTCTGGCCCGGCTGCACTGCAGGTGAGCCCTCAGGACCACAGAGGCACCCAGCTACCACCCCACTGGCCACCTCCAAACCCCCAGGTTCTAGTTTCACTGCCGACTTTCTCCCACAAAAGCTGATCGAGACCATAAACGGTGCGACGGGCGGCCTCGTGGTGAGCGCCCTGGAGCCTGGAGCGAGCCGCGCCCTGCCCAGCTGGGGGGGCTGCAGAGGACGGTGAGGGCCCGCTGAGCTGTTTCCTCCCTCATGTCGTGTCGGGAGCGCCGGGTGCCTACAGGCAGCCTCACTGCCAGGAAACACTTCCCAGCAGCCAGAAACCTGTTATCAGGCCCCGCCCCCTCGCTCGGCCTGACCTCTGGCCCCACATCTCGATTCCAGGAACCCCAGGTTAGGGAGGGCTCTGCAGCTGGTGCGGGCATTCAGAGAGGGACCAGGGCAGGCAGCAGGGGACAGGACGGCTGGACTGGAGTCCCGACCAGGGGACCGCTGCACACGAAGCCCTTTAGAAAGGGGGACACCAGTTCCCGCTGGGTTCTCGCCTGCAGCTCCTTCTCCACGCCACCAGGCCCGGCCTCGTTAGGAGGGCACCAGAGGACCCCCAGCTCCCACGGCGCTTGCCCCCAGGGCACCTGCCTTTGTCTGCTTCCCATTTCTCTGCCCTCAGTGTCACCTCTCAGTGGCCCCCTTGTCTAACCGACCTGTCAGCCTGGATGGAGCCCCTGCCCTGCTCTCTCCCTAACCCTCCCCACAGCCTGACGTTACATCTGAAGAGATCGCCCGCTTATTGCTGCCCTCATTAAACGCTAAGCCTCGGGAGGGCGGGAGTGAGTCCCCGTGTCCCCGTGTGCGGATGCTGCCGGGCACAGCAGCCCTGGGCCAACAGCTGTCTGACAGGGCGGCTCCCCCGACGCTGGGAGTAAATGACCCTCCAGTGAGGACCACGCCGAGGACAATGCACTGATACCCGCTCCTCGGCTCCCCCACACCCCGCAGCGACGAGAGGGGGCGGAAGGCGGCACGGCTCCCGCCGTCCTGGCCCGAGGAGCAGGAATGACCACGCAGGCCTGGGAGTGTGCAGCCGTGGCCCCGCCCCGAGCACACCTGCCGGCTCCCCGGTGGGACGTGCCCCAGGTGTGCCAGGCAAACAGGGTGGAGCTGCCCAGCTCTCACTGCGAGTTCCCTTTCGGGCACTGCGCCAAGCGGCCTATCGGGAAGCAGTAAAAATAGTGGCGATTCTCATCATCATTAACAGGTTTCTGCAGCCTGAGCCAGAAACCTCTCAACCGAGGCCGGCCCCACCCGCCACACACGTTGCTAAGGCTAGTGCTGCACCCAGGTGAGTCAACGTCAACGTCTCAAACTCACACTGACCCTTTCCCTGAAACACATGCCCACGAGCTGAGCCCGCGTCCCGGCGTGGATGGGGCCTCTGCTGGGGCTGGGCAGCCTCCTGCTCCCCCCAGACCACCCCTCCACGAGCACAGGCCTGCACACCTCACGTGCACATGGGGCCAGTCTGCTGGCACGTGGACGGTAGGTAGACGGCCCCGCCTCGCCTGGTTAGGAGGGGAACCAGCTATTCTGCGCCCAGCCCCCTGGGCCCCACTCTCCACCAGGGCCAGGGTGCAAAGGGGACCCTCAGAAGCAACTGAGATGCGCTCAGTAGGTGTGCAGATAAGTTGCCCATCCAGACAAGGAGCACATCCAGCAGTGAGAACGAATTTGCTTCGAGGACGCAGGCCTTACCCACTGTCCCGGAGGAGACTGCCACTGTGTGGTCCCCACCTGACGTGTGCACAGGGCAAAGCTGTGGGCACCGCACAGAAAGTGGTGGCTGCCAGGCCCGCGGGGGGTGAGGGGGGGACACGACAGGCAGAGCAGAGGCTCCAGGGCAGTGGAAACCTGTGTGACAGACCCACAGAAAGCACGCCGCCAAGGGAACCCCAGCACGCGCTGTAGACTCCGTGGCACTGCTGTGTCAGTCGGGTCATCGGTGCGACAGCTGGCCGCCCTGGGGCTGGCTGCTGACCACGGGAGGCTGTGCGGTGGGGCAGCCCATGCAGAGGTAAAAATAAATAAGTAAATACTTAAGGGCACAAACTTTCAGCGATCAGAGAACTTACCCATGAGCTGCCACAGGTACCGTGCAGTGCCTGGCAGCTGACCCCCGCACAGCACGAAGGCGGACATAAACTAAACCCACGGCCAGCAACGCTGCCCGCGCCCAGGCCAGGCCCCAGGAAACGACAGACCAGGAATCTGAGAGCTGACGGCTGGCGGAGGCCTAACGAGGAACCTCCCAGCGGCCCCTGCAGAGGCTGAGCAGTCGAGACCTCTGACTTCGTGACCCACGTGAAGAAAACGACAGGTAACCGGGACCCCTCTCCTCGCCAGGGGACCCAAGACTCCCACAGCGTGCCCCCCAGGCACACAGGTCACCCGTCTCAGTCTCACCCCATTTTACAGACACTGGACCGAGCCCCGCCCCCTCTGCCAAAGGCGAACACGGGTGGAGGACCGGGCTCTGAGGCTCCACGGGGAGCCTCTGCCGACGCACTGAGCAGCGTCCTCTGCAGGTGAGCCCGCTGCACTGGAGTCTCCCGTGCGGCTTAGGGCGGAGGCTCCTCTGGCTCTCGGGCAGCTCGCCCACTAACTGACAGACACCCGCGTCTGCTGAGAAATCAGCCCGCGTGCGGGGGGCAGCCTGAACCCGGCCCCCGTGCCACCCAGCTGCTCTGCAGCCTCGGAACACGGAAAACGCCGCAGTGACGCCCAGCCGCGCGGGTCACCGGCGGGACTGCTCCCGGCACCTGCTGCCGGTGTGGTCACTTCCCGACAGGTCGCTTGTCCCCACCCAGCCAGCCCGCTTCCCACAGGCAGGCACCAAGCAGGGCTTCCGGCGTCACCAGGCTCACGGGGCCACCAACAGGGTCATCACAGGCCTCCGACGCCCGGGGTGTGCGATGCTGGGACCCAGAGACACAGCCGGGTCTGGTCACTTCCCTCCCAGCCGGCTCGTGGGAGCAGGAGGAGCGAGAGGGGCCGGGGCTGCCCCGGGCCCTGGGGAAGGGGATGGTGGTCTCGGGTCCTCAGTCGCGGGCAGGAATGGTCAGGGTCCAAACACAGACCCGCCCCGGCAGACACACCCCTGCACCCAGCACGGGCCTGGCAGAGGGTCCAGTCACTCAATGGTCCACCCCGCAGCCTCTAACCCCACATCACCCCCTGGCTCCCGACTCCTCCAACACAGGCTGCTTTGGGGGAAGTGACCATCAAAAGAGGAGCCAGAAAAGGGGGCTGGCTTAAGACCCCTCCCCACTACCAATCAGAGCTGCAAAGCAGGAAGGACCCTGGCCTCCCGCTAAGCACTGAGTGACCTCTGACCTCTGGCTCTTGGCTTAAGGGTGAGCCCCTGCTCCACGCACCCTCCCCCTCACGCACAAGCAGGCACACGCCCGGGATTCCTGGCCTTCTCCACAATCCAGTCTCCCGGACGGCAGGCCCCACCCGTGCGGGGCGGGGCGGGGGGGAGTGGCAGGGGCCTGCGGTCCGGGAAAAGGGAGATGCCCTGGAAAAGCCTGTTGGGCGTTTCTGTCTCAGCGGTAACCGGGGAGTCACTGCACAGCGCGGCTTCCGGGAAGGAACCGCGGCCTCGGGATGGGCCAGGCCCAGCTGGGACCCGAGGCCAAGGGAGCCCTGCCCCAGGCAGCCTCGGGGCAGCTCCAGGCACACACACCCCGTCCCGCTGCCCGGCTCTGTCGCGACCCCTCCCCGGGCACAGCTACTCTCGGAAGTAACAGAGCCAGAGCTGAGATGCGGCCAGCACCCTCCACGGCTGGCCTGCCTGTTGACACACCTGACCTCCGGCCGGCTCAGCCGGTGACACGTGCTGGGATGGGAACAAGGGGCCACTCCTGCCCACCAGGCGACGCCACCTGCCGAGCAGGCCCGTGGGGCTCCACGTGGGAAGCGGAACCACTCTGGAGGCAGCAGGTTGTCCCAGGGGGCGGGTCCGGGCCGGGGCCTGGCTCCCCGCAGTGCAGCCCAGTGCAACCCCAGGCGCCCAGAGGACCTCCCGCCTCAGACAAGCAGATGAGAGGACCCACCCGAGAGGAGGCTGAGGCTTTTCCGAAGCCTCTAGAACAGCCCAGAAGCAAGACAGGCCTCTGAGCACCGAGGAGGGAGGGAGCACCACCTCCCGGCGCCCAACCCCCTCCCTCTGGAGGCAGGACTAGCCACTGGGTGGTAGGTTTCCCCCAAGGATGGGCGACCCGCTGCTCAGCACAGCTCCATCTGCCCACACGTCTCAGGTCTCGGGTCACGCCCCGAAACTGTGCACACGGCCGCTCCAGGGAGGCGAGGGCTGCCCCAGGGTCCTGACTCACAGACAACGCAGACTGGGACCCACTGTCACGCAGCGCCATCCATGTGGGCGTCATGAGGGCATAGCCTCAATTTCCCCAAAGTGCAACGGTGAGGGAAAGACCGAAAACGGGCTGCTGAGGACCAAATACATGACCCCCTGCCACCCTGAGTCCCGAGGGGGACGCACCGCTGCGGGAGCGCAGGGATGGGGGGGGGGGGGGGCCTCCCGCCCTGCCACCGCCCGGGGAGGCTGCACGACGCCCATGACTGGCGCACAGGAGAGGCTGCATGAGCGCCATGCAGGCAGAGGGCAGCGAGGCCGCGGGCTGGCCTGTACCTTTGGCATGGAAGGTCCAGTCCCGCCGCCAGTACTCCTGCAGCTGCACCCGCTCCTGCTGCCCCAGGCTGCACACCTCCTGGTAGAACTGCCGCTCGATGTGCACGTAGGCGGCCGGGATGGCGCCCGCCACCCCCTTGGCCCCGAAGAAGCCGTTCACCTCCGGGGAGGCCAGCAGGATCTGGTACTCGGCCCGCGTGCCCAGGACCAGGTCCATGTAGGCCTGGGTCAGGTTGAAGTAGCCGGTGGTGAGGTAGACCCTGGCCCCGCACTCGGCCTCGGTCAGTAGGGCCGCAGTGACCGCCTCGTCGATCCGGATCTCAAAGGGCTTCATCTGGACCAGCGGGTAGATCCACGTGTCTGGCGCGGGCCTGCGATCGCCAGCGGCCGCGGCGTCCTCCTGGGGCCCGGAGGCGTCGCCGTGGAAGGTCTGCGCGTGCAGCATCTGCTGGCGGGTCCGGGCCGCGTTGATGACACCCATGACCCGTGCGTTGGCGGCCTGGCAGTACGCAGCCCGGTCACCTGAGGGGCACGGGGCAGGGGGTTAAAGGGCGGCTCCTTCTCGCCCTCCCTGCCTGCAGGGCCTGTTCGGTTAGACCAGGGTCGGCCATGTTTTCCGTGGGGCCAGAGAGTGAACAGTTTAGGTTCTGGGAACCAAAAGTACAACAGGCGAGCGTGCAGGTACTAACTCCCACCCGAGGGAAGAGGGTGCCCCTGCGCTTTGTGTGGCCATGAAAAAGCTCATGGTCACAACAGAGCGTCCCGGCTGGTGGCAGGCAGGGCGGCACGGAGCCCACCCCGGGGACGGACAGGCCTCCACTGGGCACCTGCTTAGACACTTCCATCGGGGGGACCCAAGGAGCACTCCGCCAGGTCTGGCGGGTCTGGGTTTAACCCCTGCCCTGCGCACTGACACTCGTAAACTCAACAGCAGACCTTAGAGGCCCCCAGAAAGTCAGGGCCACGGAACCCCAGGAACACAAAGGCCCCGAGAGAGAGCCAGCTGCCAGGCCGGCGGCACAGACCACAGTGGGCCTAGCGCAGAGCCTCTGGCGAGGGAGGGAGGGAGGGAGGGAGCGGCCGAGGGTGAGCTCCAGCACCTGCCCTCCTGGCAGCACAGGGCAGGCTCCGGCTCGCTGGCCAGGCCAGGCCCAAGCTCCCGTCCCCACGCCCCCGTCCCAGCCGCTCCCTTGCCCACAGGGCATGGCTGATGGCCAGTGGGTCTGTCTGGTTCCAGTGACAAAAGCAGGTCCAGGCCCTGCCACCCGGGGTCCCAGGCCCTAGGCAAGGCCACAGAAGCTGCTCTCCTCGGCCCTCACGTCCCCGGCTCAAGGGGACAGCATGGCCGCGCCCACCTTTGTAAGGATGCACCATGCCCTCCACCACCTGCACGGTGTCGTCGCCCTGCAGCTGCAGGGACACGTCGCCCACGGCGTCCACCAGCTCCGTGAAGAAGTCCGCGACGTCGGGACAGTCCTGCAAGAACACGTAGCGGTCCTGGCGGTTGGTGAAGTAGGAGTCACTCAGGTTGGCGCTGCGGGAGGAAAAGCAGGTGAGGACCAGGCCCAAGGCGCAGCAGCGGGTCCGGTGACGGGCCTCGGGACACCCAGCAAGAGCAGGGTGACAATCGGATCAGGACCCAGCGGCGGCAGCGGCCAATGAGCAGTTGGCTACTGAGCGTGACCACACCCAAGAGACAGGCCAGAGTGGCCGGCACAGCCCTCCTCGGAGCTGACGTCACCTGGGAGAGGAAATGCCCACCGCCGGGCGGGTTTCCGGTGCAGGGACGGTGCCCATGCTTTAGACGAGAGGTGGGCAAACTTTTTGACTCGAGGGCCACAATGGGTTCTTAAACTGGACCGGAGGGCCGGAACAAAAGCATGGATGGAGTGTTTGTGTGAACTAATATAAATTCAAAGTAAACATCATTACATAAAAGGGTACTGTCTTTTTTTTCATTAGTTTTATTCAGTAGTTTGCCCACGGCTGCTTTAGACTCAGGTCCTGGGTCCCCTCCCGGCTCTGCCTGACATCACCCGTCCTCTCGGATCTCTGGTTTCTGGTGTGTAAAGTGAGGAACCCACGGCCCAGGTCCTTGTGAGAATTTAAAGGAGACACACAGGTCCTCGCGTAGGGGCTGACACACAGTAGGTCCTCAATAAACAGGGCCTGCCTTGTATTTTTAGAATGAAGAGTTTGATAGACTCTTATTTACTGACTCATTTTTCTTCTGTGCCCAGCCTTCCACGCCCTCGCCTTTGTCAACCATCCACTTGTTCTGTGTCTGTGGGTCCTTGTTTTGTTTTCAGTGTGACTTTGTTGTTTTTTAGATTCCACGTATAAGTGAGAGCATGTCTTTCTCTGTCTGACTTGCTTCACCTCGCAGAATACCCTATGGGCCCACCCACGTGCTCACGAACGGCAAGGCTGCGTCCTTTTTCTTCTGAACAACATCCCACTGTGCGTACACACCACCTCTCCATCCACTCAGCTGCCAGTGGTGTCTAGCTGCCTCCCTATCCTGGCAACCCGGCTACCGGGTAACCTCTGTGGGCGTCCAGCTTCCAGGGCGGACACGGTGCCAAGGCAGACGGGAGAGAGGCGAGTGGACGGCGCGTGCCAGCGGGCCCCGGGAGGGGAGACTGTTGCGGGAGGCCTGGCGGAGGGAAGCCACGCACCCGCTCAGGATGACGCTGTCGTCGAAGAGGTACACCTTGATGTGCTGCAGGCCGATGGTCTCGTTGAAGCGCTCGGGCATCAGGAGCCGGAGCAGCCCACGGAGGTTCGGGGTGTGGAAGAGGGAGACGCGGACCTGCTCCGGAAACCGCTGCAGGAGCGGGAGCAGCATCGTGCGGGAGTTCTTCCTGCCTGAGCACAGGGCGAGCGGGGAGGAGGACAGGGTTCACCCCGGGAAAGGCAGCCAGCCCCGCAGCGCCTGCCGCCGGCCCGTGTGCCTGTGCTGCCCGCTCAGCTGGTGCTGTTTCTGGGCAGAGGAGCTCGGGGCACCTCTGTTCTGGTCGCCCGCTGCTCAGGGCGGGGCTGATGTGGTCGGTGAGGAGACCTTCTGTCTCCCCCATCAGCACCCATTGGCCTCCTCCTGGTCACCCACCTCAGCTTTCCTGGGGGTGCCACCTGCCCTCCCTCTTGGCGTTTCTGCTTTGCGTGATGAACGTGCCCACCTGAGCCCGCACCCCAGCCCCCCAGCGAAGGGCCCCAGGCCTGGGCGAGGCAGGGCCGCACACTTTGAGCCCTAGGGCAGCCACTGGGAGCTCTGGTCTGGCCACCAGGGTGCCGACTCTTCCAACGGACAAGATGCCGTGGCGAGAAGGCCTGGCCGTCAGAGGCCACCACAGGGAGAAGGAAGCCACAGGGCACGGGCCAGCAGGTGGGTGCTGGCGACACACCTGAACCCCGATGCAGCCTGCCCAAAGCAGAGGGCCCTGGGGGTCACACAACTCTTTCTGCCTCAGTTGTTTTTCTGGGGCTGCAGTCCCACCACAGAGGGAATCCGTCCTCACAGCCCCGCCTGCGTGGAGGTGGGGACAGAGGCTGGGAAGGAGGGAAGGCCGCACCCACCTCTGGAACCCCGCATGAAGTCCAGGAGAATGGACACCTTGAGGTCGGAAGGACACTTCGCTTGGAGTGACTTTTCCAGCGTGCTCTCCAGACAGTCCACCTACCAAGCACAGCGGGCAGACCCAGGGGGAGACTGTGTGTTAGGAATGACCCAAGTGCCAGCCATGCCCCCGTCCTGGGCACACCCCGTCTGCACTCAGAGCTGGCACCACGGAACTCCCCCTCAAGAGGCCGCCTCGGGAGCAGCCTGGCACACAGAGCAGCGGGGACCCTGTGCAGGGCGAGGGGGACACTGACCAGCAAGGTCAGAGGCCAGGACCAGGCCTCCCCACGCCCTCCCCCACCCTCCCTCATGCCCAGTATCTGTGGCCACGAGAGCGAGAGCTGGCAGTGTGAGGTCTGGAGGCCATGCCCTGCTCCCACCTGACTGCTCCCCCTAAACCTACCAGTTCCTGTTCCAAAGGACCTGTCCCCAGGTAGAGAGACGCCATCACGACCCGCCTCTTGGCTGCTTGGATCTGCCCCTGAAAGCAAAGGGCGTCTCAGCGCTCAACCATCGTTTCCACGTCGCCGAGAAAATACAGTCCTCGACCGTGGAAGCAAACACCCACACTGAACTACCCTGGCCCCAGCGCGGGGGGCCCACAACCCTCCCTAGAAACAGTCCGCGTGAGTCCGCGTGAAGTTAAAGCGTGACGCACATGCACTAGACACGGGAGGGCGTGCACACACGGCTGAGACGCCCATCACTGAGCACAGTGCAAGCCGCGCTCCACCCGCACCCGCCCGCACACACCTGCATGCATGTAAGTGTGCGCAGGGCGTGCGGAACACACAGGAGCAGAGCTGGGGGAGGGCGCGGGCGCAAACCTGCGCGGCTGGAGTTTGACAAGGAGCACGTATTACCCTTGAAATGCAGACTGACAGGTATGGAGACACAAACAGAACGTCCCCACATTCAAGACGACACAGCGCATCAGCCCCACAGCCGTGTCCTCTCCCTGGCCCTACGCAGCCCCCTGCTCCACAGCACAGGGGCCGGCGGGACCGGCTGCACGCTCTGTCCAGGCGGCACAGCCCGCTCGGTGCAGGAAGTGCGACGTTGGCCTGGGGCCGCTCAGAGGCGGGAGAAGGCCTGGCTCCTTTCCGGGCTACGGGACCCCAGGCTCCTCCTGGTCTCTGCAGCCCTGCCCGCCAAGCAGATGCACAGTGCAGCTGCCTCCCGGCCGGGGGTCACCACATGGGGACTCAGCCAGCCACCTGGAGGCCATGAGGACACTAAGAAGAGCCTGTTTCTTCCAGCCACACAGAGAGCCACGCGGCCACGCGGAGCACAGAGCAAACAGCCTCAGCAGCACTGACACCAACGTGGGCGTGTGGGACATGCAAGGGGCTGGGGGGATGGGAGACACACACACAGCCACATGCGCACACATACACGCACACGCACACGCACACGCACACAGAATTCGTTCTGGAAGGAGCCGGCCAGGAAGGAAGCTCAGGGCTAAAGAAGAGAGCGCGCAGCATTCACTTGCCGGCTGTGTGAACTCCTCACACCTGGGTTCTCACACCACTGTTAGTATGAACTCAGGAGTTCATGGCAATAAAAAGTCATTAGTGTTGAATTACTTCACGCCAATTAGCAGTCCAACCACAGAGAACTAGAGGCGCATGAACTCCTGAGGGACCCCCAAGGGCAAAGTTCAGCAGCTCCTCAGGCACAGACTGTACCCGAAAAGGACCAGGGCTGCAGGGGCCACAACCAGAGCCCGAGGTCCCAGGCCGCTGCCACGCCTCTGCCACTGGGTCTGCACCCCGCACACGATGCCCACCGATGACGGGCTTGTGGGAGGTGTCTCCAGGGCAGAGGTCCCGGTGCCCGGCTAGAATCAGGCTCGTTCCTTCCCGACCGTTGCTAGCAGGGCCACCGTGCAGGGCACATGCCCTCATGCCTCCCCTCTGGGGGCTACCCCCTCAGCACAGGACAGAGGAGCAGGCTGCCCACAGGCCCGGAGCCAGGACCTGCCCTCACTGCCCCCGCCTGGGCTGCTCCACCTTAGCCACACCGGGGAGCTCTGACCACGGCTGACTCACCCATCTGTGAAGCTGGAACAGGCAGAGCCCACAGGAGTGAGCTGAGCAGCCACTAAAAGCTTCCAGAACAGAAGGTGCCCCCACCCAGGACGTGCCCAACCTCACACCAGAAGCCCCTACCCACATGTCCACCGCGCTCCGCCTTGCCCACGGCTCTCCGCCCCGCCCACCGCGCTCTGCCACGCCCACGGCTCTCCGCCCCGCCCACCAGGCTCCGCCTTGTCCACGACGCCCCGCCCCGCCCACTGCGCTCCGCCCCGCCCACCAGGCTCCGCCTTGTCCACGGCGCCCCGCCCCGCCCACTGCGCTCCGCCCCGCCCACCAGGCTCCGCCTTGCCCACGGTGCTCTGCCTTCGATGCAACTCACCTTCATGAGCTCAAAAAACTCGGTGGGGGCTGAGAGCACCCTGACGTGGGAGCTGCAGACGCCGAACTCGGGGACCAGGTTTCGGATCCACTGGAACCGGTGCACGCCCTCCGGGCACAGGCAGCAGGGCGGGGAGGTGACCTGGGGGACAGTTGGGGACAGCAAAGGAGCCAACAGCAGCCATGGTGACCTGGTTAGAGACACACAGGGGGTCAAGCTTCGCAGACTCATCCTCAACGTCTCTCTCCGCTACTGGGGAGAGGAAGAGAGGGATCTTTATTTTATTTTATTGCCAATTTTGGATTTTCTAGGCCATTTTAAGTGGCCCACTCACACTCCCCACATAGGTTCCCTTCGGCCCCTCCGAGCTAAGCAGCTTGAGAAGTGCCGACGCCTGTGGACAACCCCACCTTCACGTGGATCCCACGCGCCTCCAGACTTAGCGCTCCCAGCAGCTCCCGGAAGCCACTGGTGGCTACCCCTGCGGCCTACGAGTGCCAGGGCTCCCAGCGCCAGGGCCCCGCTGCACCCAGCCCGCCCGCGGCAGGGCCCAGGAGACAGCGGGCTTTCACTTAGGGAAGGGACAGCAAAGCAAAGGTCTCGCATACACTTAACAGCGAGTGGAATAAAATATCCTCAAGGGTAGAAAAGTCTTCTCTCCAACACTCGGGCAGGGAGAGGACAGGGGAGGTCATCGCAAGAGGCGCCGGGTGACAGCACTGCCCTCCCTGCTGCACTGGTCTCCTTCGGGGCCGTGTCGCCTCGGGGCTGCCCTGGGACGACCACAGGGAGCTGTCCCCTGACCCACAGTCCCCCGAGGCGGCGACGGCAGGACGCTGCCCCGGGCCTGGAACACCTGTGGGCAGGGAGGGGCACGTGCACAAACCCGGAGGGAATTCCCGCCAATCCTCCTCAGGAAAATCCTCCTCAGCCTGTGACCTTGGAGCCCCAGCCCCAGAGGGACTGGGGGAAGGACCACGGATTCCAGGAAGGTGACCTCACGGCTTGCCTCGTGACACCACCAATCTTCCCATCTTCCCAGGGCTGGTCCACGGCCCCACGGCGCCAGGTGGCCCACAGCTGTGCTTCCCAGAAAGCCCCGGTCTGCCCAGCCTCCTCAGCGCCAAGAAAACCTTAGTCAGCCGGGAAGACACTGCAGCCTGGGGGCGGGAGGCCTGGGGCAGCGGTGGGGGCAGCTGTCCCCCCCCGCCGGCCTCAGGGCTGGTGACCCACGCGCAGGCGGGCATCGGCCTGCTGGGTTCCTCTAGCTCCCAGGCTCCCAGCAGCTTGCACATGAAGGCCGAGAAGCTAACAAGGGACTGTGGCCTCAGTTCCCCAAACTGCGGGCCGACCTCCTGCGGGGCTCAGGCCACCTGGGGGAGCAGCGCTCCTCTGTCCAACGGGAACCAGAGGCGAGGGAGAGCCGCCCGTCTGAAGCCCAGCGGCCTGAAGTCTAAGGTTCACTATTAAACAGTCTATCTGACCAGGGTCAACCTCCCTCCCCGTCTCACGGCACTTGTCAGGCTCGGACCATAAACCATAAAAAAAGACCCCGGCCCTGGCTGGTTTGGCTCAGTGGATAGAGTGTCAACCCTCAGACCGAGGGTCCCGGGTTCAATTCTGGTCAAGGGCAGGTACCTCGATTGTAGGCTCAACCTCTGGCTCGCTCTCTCTCTCCCCATCCCTTCCACGCTCTCTAAATATCAAAGGAAAAATACTCTTAGGTGAGGAGAAACAAAAACAAAACAAAACAGAAAGACCAGTCACCTGGCCCAGGCCACGCACCCGGTCCCCACGCATCCTGCCTGCGGCCAGGAGGCTCACCGGCTCCCAGAAAGGAAGGTGAAGAACCACCTCCTTGGCACCGGCCCCGGGAGAGGGAGAGCGCCAACCTGGGCCTCCAGCCAAGTCACCACGTGAGCACCGACGTGCACCCTGGAGGGCACAGGCAGAGCTGGCACAGCCCCTGCCTCTCACAGACCTGGCCTCCCAGGTTTACACACCTGGAATGATGGGAGAACAACACAAGAAAAAATGCTAAAATTAATTAAATAAGATCAAAACACACAGTCTGTGTGCTTCAAGGGACGCCCGAGCTCTGGGCTGTCCACACCCTGGCACCTGCCGGCCAATAGCTTTCAAACCTGGCACGGACGGGAGGTGTGAGCAGAGCTGGCCGAAGCCACCGTCGCCAGGAAAGCCCAGGGCTCCACGTGGGTGTCAGCCCACGGCCCCCGGTGTCCTGCTGGGAGAGGCCTCTGGCAGGCTCGGCGACGGCCACCACCATGCAGGTCCCTGCAGGGCAGCTCTCGCTGGGGACCGCCCGCCAGGGCCTCAGCCCAGGATCTGCCGAGGCCTTCCCCGTGGCTTCCTGTGGAATCTGTGCACCGACGGGCTTGTTTGAGTCTGAGAGGAGCAGCAGCAAAAGCCAACTGGCTTTCGGGGGTTTGCTGCGGAGGAGGCCCAGCCTCAGTGCAATTCATCGCCAGCGAGGGAGGTGCCAGGGAGGGGCGCAGTGTCCTCGGAAGCACCGCAGGGGCAGCGCAGGCTGGGACGGCCACGCCCCACTGCCTCGGGAGGCGGGGGCACAAGCAGCCCCCATCTGAGCACCCACGGCTGGCTCCCCCAGAGCCCGCTCAGCGACCCATCCGCTCAGCGACCCATCCGTTTCCTTCCAGCTCAACCAGACCCCTTGGCCGTTAGTTCCCGCTCTCCACCAGGGAGCCCCGGGGAATTTTCTCAGAAGAGGTCTCCCCTGCACAGCAGCCTCCTGCAGTCTCCCTGTGCCCCAGGGGCCGAGCACCTGCGCTGCCTTCCCCTCACCCAGGGAGCTTTCCCAAGGAGCCTCGCGTCCCAGGTCAGAAACCTCACCCCAGGGACCCAAGGGGGCAGGAAGCTGGCCGCACAGCCCCATCACACTCACGTGTAGGGAACGGCCAGATGTGTACACACACACACACACACACACACACACACACACACACGATTCCCGCAACCAGGCCTGGGCTCCCCTGGGTTTCCCTTTCTCAGCACCTCGCTCCCTTCCTGGTAACAGAAGGGCCCACTCCGCGCCCGGGCGCATCAGGGGCGTTTAGAGAATGGGGCCTGGGCCAGAGCAGGGGCACTGGGCATTCAAACTCCAAACAAACAGACAATGCGAACCAACCCCCAGCCCCCACTCGCCAAGGTGCGATGGGACTGGCACCCTCTCCAAAGGGCAGGCTCCGGCACCCCCAGGGCGCCTGGCTCTCGGGGAAGGCTCGGCCACATGGTGTAAGGCTTTCCGCCACTGAGCGAGGGCAGCGGAAGCCCACCTAGCCACACAGGACCATGCAGCCTGCCCCCCTCCCTGTGCATGGCATGGGACACGAGCCAGCCGGAAGCAGCTGAGATGCTGTGGACACGCCTGCAAGGCAGCCTCAGGGAACGGAAGGCAGTTCCCCTCACTTTCCTGACAAGACAGGAGTCTTCCAGTTCACCAAGCTGACGCTGACTGGCCCTGGGAACACAGGCACGCCTGGCATTTCCCTTTCGGGCTGTGTGACAACAGCCTGAGTCCCTGGGAGCTCCCTCCCACTCGGCGCAGACAGCAGGCGCCCAGGTTCCTCCAAAGCAGGGCACGTGGGCCCGGGACCTGCACACGGCGAGGTCCGAGGCTGGGCTCGGACACTGACCTCAGGACGGCCAGGAGTCCGCGCACCGCACTGGCTAAGTGTCCCCACTGCAGCTCCGCACCGTGGTCTGAAGCTCCGCAAACTGTGGGAACGCTAAGACTTGTGGGGCAAGCTCTGTGGCTTGGGTCCCCCCCACATCCGTGCAAATGAACCAGAAAAGAAGGAAGTTTTTAAAAGAAACTGAGCTCTCTGGATTCCATGTTTTCAGAAACTACGATTTTAAGAAAAGCCCCCCCCCTCCCCCCAGCCATACAGTGAAATGTAAAAAAAAAAAAAAAAAAAGTGAAGTAATGAGAAAAGAGCAACAGTCATAACACTTCCCGAGAAAGGCTCGAGAAACTACCTGCAGGTACCGGACTTCCTGCGCCCGGGCCGGGCAGCCCTGACTGACTAACGCAAGACCCGGCCTGCCCGGAAGTGATGGATCCGATTCCCGCAGGTGACGCCAGGCCCAGGCCCGCGGAGCCCCCACAGGAAGCCGGCATCTGGCCACGCACCGGCAGATGGCCCTCACCTGACTTGCCAGAAACCAAGTCGGTTGCATCACGGGGCCAGAAGCCAGACTACAGCCCACGTCACAGGGCTGGCCCCACGCACGAGGCCTAGGGAGTGTGGACAAGACCGAGCCTGAGCTCTAGGAACCAGACGCTTCGGCCAGCCTGACTCCCCAGCAGCCTGGAGAGCGGCTTGCTGGCGTCCGTCAGAGCCCGTGTTCACAAGGGGTTAGCTATCAGCGCACTCCAACCCGGCTGCGTCTGTCCGTCCAGACGCAGACAGACCCGCCTAGTCCTCCAGCGGCACCATGCTGGGGGGGGGGCACCTGGGAACGTTAACTTAGCTACAACGTGGAAGTCAGTCTGTTGCAAACCCATGCAAGGTCAAAGTTGAATGACTTGGGGGAACTCATGCTTTAATTGGAAACCTCCCCCTCCCACTCATCCTACTGCTATAAATAGACCAGGAGGGACCCCACTTAGCCCTCATGAGTAAGGAGGGCTGGGTCCCAGCATCAAAGTGCAAAGAAACAGTCATTTCTGGAAATCTGATGGTCCCTCAGGGCAGAAACTGCTACCAGGTTGACCAAGAGTTTGCTGATCTGACGTCACCACGTAAGAAACTCGAACTGAAAGAGGAGGCTACTGGTTACATCTCCCTCTTCTCACTCAGAGATGTTAGCCCCCTCCGCCCCCCAACACACACACGCCTGGAACAGAGAACATAGGACTTGAGTTTCGAAAACAAAGCCTTTTCGGCACATGGAGCTCAAACTGAAAGCAGCGTGCGTGTTTTTACAGGAGCCACAGGAAAAACCTCTCCTGGCATGGCAGGTGAGCTCACGGCGATGAACTGACGCCCTCTTGACCCTTCCCACTAGGTCTCGCTCCAGATAACAAGCCAAGCCTGTGTAGTGTGATGACTCCGAAAAAGCTCTCTGAGGGTTTGGTCTCCCCCTCCTGAGCTCCAGACCTGCCAGGCAACTGCCCACGGGACCCTCCACGTGGACGCGCCTGGATTCTGGTTAACAAGCCCCAAACTTACCCTCTCATCCTCCCCCAAACCTGGTCCTTCCTTTCTCCCTGTTGTGGGGAACCGTGCCGCCGTCCACAGTCAGTCACCCAAGTCAGAAACAGGACCCACCTCCTCAGCGCTCTCCCCTCTATACTTCCCCCCCACTCCCCCCAGCCTCTCTTCTATTCCCACTGTCCCGACGTCATATGAACCCACCCCTTAGGCCTGGACCGCTAGCACAAGACACGACACAGAATCACGACACAGAATCTCAGAGCTTGCTTCCTGGGATCTTGCTTCCTGGCCCAGAGGACTGACTGACTCCCAGCGCCCACCACCCCTTTCCGATAACTGCCGTCAGCTCCTGGAAATGGTTTGAGAGGCCGTGGGACCTCCGCACTGCGATCCCCTGCTGCTATGATCACTCGCTATCCTTCACTAGCCTACTCCTCTTCTCCCAGCACATGGCTCTGAGGGCACCACCACCAGGAAGCCTTCTGTGACTTCCCGGTGTGCCTCTGAGGGACCTGACTTTTTCCACCTTAACCTTGCTATTATTGTTGCTCATGGATCTGAGCATCTTATGTCTTATCTTGGTTTCTCAGTTTCCCGGCCCAGCAGAGCAGTGCTCTCCACATGCATGCTGGATGAATGAACCCAGCGTGAGTCAGAGAGAACAGCAGTGCTCTGGGTCACTAATTATCAGAAGCCTTAGGCAGAGTTCTGTCACTAGGGCTGTGTCTATAACTGAAAGGAAACCACTGCCGGGAAGGAACGGAACCCCTGTCCACCGTCTCGCTAGCCGCCAGGACCGGGCAGGCACTCCGACAGCTGGGTCAGACTGGCAAGCTCAAGTCTAAAACGATTTCAGCCCATGACTACACAGATTATCAATGGATCAGAGTTACAAGAAACCACACCATTCGGGGAATGAGGAATTGGGAGGCGCAACTGAACAAAGAAAAAGAAACGAAAGCCAGCAGTCACGGGTGTGTGGCCACGCAAACCCCAAACACCAAGGCCACAAAGAATCGGAAAAAAACCCTGCAAACTGAAAAGGGCAAGGAGTCAGAAACCTAAGGCGTGGTAACGACACCGGTCACAGCACAGGCGTTCTTTCCAAGGACGACAACACCCAAACGTCTGGCAGGTGTGTTTCTGTTGGTGATTTAACCGAGCTTCTGGTGTCACTGTTGACCCAGAAAAACAACAACTCTCTCTCTCGGTTTAATCACCAAGAGCCATGGGGCCACTGCACCTCCTGGCACTATTTACAAAAAGGGCTTTGCCATTTCAGACAATCCCCACTGACGCATGGCCCCCGCCCCCCCCCCCAAAAAAGGACACCCCAAGAAGACTGTTTTTGAGAAGAATTCGTGCAGATTGCCCAACATCCTTTAGCAATCCATCCCAATGTTAAACAATGATTAATCAAGTGGTTTTCGTATAGTGTACACACATCCAGCGGGATGACAACATCGCCTCAACAGCTTGGAGGAGAGGACATTTCTTGAAACTTTAAAACAGATTTCTCGGTAGCTGGAGGCCGGGCTGTGGGAGTCACCTGACCTCGCTGTCCCGGGAACGGACTGGTCTCCGCGAAGAGCGGGTTCCAGCAAGTGGAGAGGCCACGCCCACGCCCCTGGCCGCAATCCAGTGAACCTGAAAAGCCTTGGGGGGGAAGGGGGGCGGTAGGGTTCCGAGAGTCCCAGCAGGCAAGGCCCTGGCGCCAGCACCTCCAAGTTCCCCTAAATCAGACTCTTTCTGCTCAAAACCTCCAGCCGCCGGCCCATAGGGAGCAAGCCCACCCCTTCCCTAGAATCTGCACCCGGGACGGGACCACAGCGCGGCACCCATGAAAACCTGAGACAACGCAAAGGGCGCAGGGCGCAGACATTCCCCCTAAGGAGGAAGAGAAGGCTCGGGTCTAATAAAAACACGTCCTGCGCACAGAGCATCCTCCCCCGTTTCCCTCTCAGCGCAGCGCAGGCCTCTTAAGGCGGCGAGTGTTTACCCGGAGCCCAGGCCGGAGGCCCCTTCGCCGCTTACGCAACTCCCTCCCCTGCTTCCCCGGAGAGCAGGTCCTCGAGGGCGCGCGGAGGGGGCGGGGTGGGTCCCCTGCCCGACGAGGGCCCCGACTCGGGATTGCTTCACGGCCCCCGGCCGGCGGATGAGGACCCCGCGCGGACGCCCGGCCGGGCTGACTCACGCCGCGGCCCCCGCAGCCGGCGTGACTCAGGGGAGGTCCCTCCGAGCCCCAGGCCCGCGTCGGGGCTGTCACGTCTCCTCCGAGGGCACGCACTGCGCTCCGGGCAAGTGCGCGCGGCCGGGGAGCCCGCAGGGCCACCCCCTCCCCGGGCGGGCGGGCGCCGAGGCGGGGACGCGGGGAGCCTGCGGGGAAGGGAGCCTGCGGAGAACGGGAGGGAACCTGCGGGCGGCGGGCGCGGGACGTGGGAGACGGGGACACGGGGACCCGCTGCCACCCGCCTCCCTCTCACCTCCGGCGCCGGCGGTCCCGGTTCCGGCCGAAGCGGTCGGACAGGCGCCCCAGGAGCGCGGCCAGCCCGGGCCGGCCAGGCAGGAGGCCCAGCAGCCGCCGCCAGAACACCGGCCCCGCCGTGGCCGCCGCCATGGAGACTCGCGGCTTCCGCTTCCGGCGCGAAAAAACTTTATTGACAGCGGCGCGCGGACACGGGGCAGCGCGCGCACAGGCAGCGGCGGGAGGAGGCCCCGCCCCCGCAGCCCTGTGGCCCCGCCCCTCGGCCCTGTGGCCCCGCCCCCGCAGCCCTGTCTCCCCGCTGCGGGCGCAGGTGGGCTGCACGCCCCGAGCCGCCGCCAGCACCCCGACTCAGCGTCGGTACGCGGGGACACGGCCTTCCGGACCCCACGGCCCAGTTCGGCTGAGACTCGGGCAAAACTGGGTACCCGCTGCTCACTGCGCGCGCCGAGCACGGAAAATCCCTGCGGGAGCCGAGCCCGCGTGCGCCGTGGGGGTCCCTGGGCTGCAGCCCCAAAGTGTGTGCAGGGGACGGAGGCTCCTGCCGTCGCCGGCCCCGCCCGGGAGGGACGGTGCTGTGGCCGGGCGAGCTGAAGGAGCCATCCCTCCCGCCAGAAACACTTCTCAGCTGATTTTTAAAAGGAAAACGTGGCGGGATCCTGCGACGTGGGAGGGGAGGGCGGATCCGTTACATGGGCTCCTGGGCGGGCCGCGCGGGCTGGACTCGGAACCTGGAGGCGCTGCAGGAGATCATCATTTCCTATTTATTCCGGGGGAGGGGGCTGTTGTGAGGCTAAAAGGATGTGGACACCCTGGATAAAAAACTTCCCGAATTCCACGTCCACCAAACGATCCCAAGCGAGTCAATGACACGTTCCCCCCAGAAACGCTCATCTCGGCGTCTGTTCATGTCAAAAATCGTGGACACAGTCAACAGCGGGGGAGCTGGTCACGCAAACAACGGTACTCACGACGCTGGAAAACCACGCACCCATTTTTAAAAAATGTTCTTGGAGATTGTTTGCTCTAGAGCAGCGGTTCTCAACCTGTGGGTCGCGACCCCTTTGGGGTTGAACGACCCTTTCACAGGGGTCGCCTAAGACTATCAGAAAACACATATAATTATATATTGTTTTTGTGATTAATCACTATGCTTTAATTATGTTCAATTTGTAACAATGAAATTGGGGGTCACCACAACATGAGGAACTGTATTAAAGGGTCGCGTCATTAGGAAGATTGAGAACCGCTGCTCCAGAGAATGTGTATTGACATGAAGAGTAAAAATCAATTCACCAAAGAGTAGGACGAGAGCTTACCTCATTTTCTTAAAAATTGAAATAGAGAGAGTGCGTACAGACAGACTGAAGGGGAAACATTGTTAACATTGGTTATTTGGCGCTATTCAAGAATTTCCAGATTGTTTACCATATCGAGGATTTGGTTGGTCTTGATTTCCCCATTAAGATTAGATAGCTTTACAAATACAAGACGGAATTTGATTCAGCTCTTCCCAGTCTGAAGTGGTGAATCACCGAACTTCCTAACTTCCAGTAAGCAGAATGAGACCATCCGTTTCGTGGTTCCACTTTTGCACAGCGCTGGGCACGGGAGATGCACAGTTGAGTTGCTGGCTGGCTGTGCCATGAAGCTCAGTGTGAGCACCTGGTGGTCCCTAACCGTCCTGAAAAGGGCTCCCTAGCTGGTTTGGCGCAGTGGCCTGCAGACCCAAGGGTCCCAGGTTCGATTCCGGTCAAGGGCACGGCACGTATTTCGGTAGCAGGCTCCTCCCTGGCCCAGGCCCTGGTCAGGGCTCATGCAAGAGGCAACCAATCGATGTGTTTCTCTCACATGGATGTTTCTCTCTGTCTTTCCCTCTCCCTTCCACTCTCTCTAAAAATCAATGGAAAAATATCCTCAGGTGAGGATTTAAAAAAAAGGGGTGGGGGGCTGGCCCCTTCTCTTTGCTGGGTGAGGTATTGATACAAAAACCATGTGCTGACCCACTGGGAGTTTGCAAGACCTCAAATAAATCGCAGTTGCCCTCCGTGAGATGGACAGCATTGGGCTTGGGAGACTTGCATGCAGGACAGCATTCCCTGGAGTGTAAACAGCAGGCGATGGCCCAGTGCCTGTTGAGGCGCACACACTCAGAGCTTCTGGCCTGACGGCTGGCGGGAAACCATAGAGCTGCAACCGGAGCGAAGCATCCACCACTCTGCCCCAGAACACGCACGTGTGGCGATCGCAAACATTTTCAATGATGGTTTTCAGAGATGGAGCCATGTTTTAAATGGTTGCATTTGTAAGAGGACAGCACAAACGCTCGCTCCCCCCCGCAGGTAACCCCCGGGGCCTTGGTGGGAATCAATAGAGCACCTCACACAAGGCGGGTGCCCCACAGCGCCAGCCAGGGAGCCCCTCGAGCAGCCTGGAGGGTGGGTGGGCAGGCAGCCTGGGCAGACCCTCTACTGCTGCGGGGTGGGGGGAGGGGTTCGAGTCACACCGTGATGACCTGGAGAAGGCACCTGTCCTCGGAGTCCCCCTCACCCACGGCCTGCCTTCTCGTTAGTCCTCGCTTCTTCCCACACAGGAGGTGCCAGGGTTAGAGTGACAAGGCCGATGCACTGATGACAGAGCCCCTGTCTTCCCGGCCGGAAAAGGAAACGCATTCACTGCAGGAGAGTTGACGTCAGGGAGTGGGGGCCGCTGCCCCCGGAGCCAGCTGCTCTCTCTGGCAGGAAATCCGGAGCCGAGGCCTGGGCCTCGCTGTCTGGGACTCACTCCCTGACCTGAAGACCCCGCCGTTGCCCAGGGAAGGGCCTCCTCCCCCAGGGAGGGTCTCCCCCCAACCAAGGGCTGTTAGCAAACTCCAGAGGGAGGAAGCGTTGGCCAGCCCACCTCCTGCCTCAGCGGTGATGGGAGACTTTCCTGCGCCCCTTGGACTTGGGGGATGATCCGCTGTTTCAGGGGAGCGCACTCTGGTTTCATAGGGACCCCGGGACTCAGGCTGGGGTGCAAGCAGCCTCAGCCGCTGCCCGCCTCTCCCCCAACTCTTCCACCTGGTCACTGCCTGGCTCACCAACCAGCCTTTTTAAAAAATATATTTTTTATTGATTTCAGAGAGGGGGAGAGAGAGAAATATCAATGATTAGAGAGAATCATGGATCAGCTGCCTCCTGCACGCCCCACTCTGGGGAGTGAGCCCGCAACCCGGGCCTGTGTCCTGACCGGGAATCAAACCGTGACCCCCTGGTCCATAGGTCGATGCTCAACCACTGAGCCAGGCCGGCCGGGCAGCCTGACCTTTTTTTCAACCCCTGATGTTGGCCACACACATTTCTGCCTTAGGATCTTATGTTAGCTGTTCCCTCTGCTTACAGGGTCTCCCCCAGTTCCTCGCATCCTCGGGGCTCCCACCTCCCCTAATAGCCTTCCCGGGCCCATAACAAGGTTCTCTTTCCTCCCCACTCTCTGTGATCTGATCCTGTTCGTTGGCTGATGGCCGTGGGGTTGGTCTCCCTGCCCCGCCCCACCGCACGTGAGACCTCAGAGCCTCCTGAGCTCCGCGCGCCCAGGTGGGGCCCTGGCACCGGAGCGGGCTCCACAGGCGCCAGCTTCACTGACGCACACGGGGCAGGAGCTGCTCAACTCCGGAGCCTCCCGGCTGCACCGGAACCGCCCCCTTCGTGCCTTTCCACCGAGGGTGGGGACAACAGGGGGCTTGGCCACGGAGGTTTCCTGACCTCGACCTGCTGCACAGATCAGTCTGCAAAAGTGCTAGCTCAGGCCTGCCTCCCTGCAGGCCCCGGCCCTTCTCCTGCCTTGCTCTCCCGCGATGTATTCTCCCTGCTGAGCCATGACTCGTCTCTTCCAGTCCCTGATACCCTGTCCCTAAAACTAAGACCTGACGCCAGCCTCCCAGGCACGAGTCATGGCTCTGTTCCCTCAGAGCGGGGCTTGGCAAAAGTTTCCTTAAAAGGCCCAATAGCCCTGGTTGGTCTGGCTCAGTGGCTAGAGCGTCGGCCTGCAGATCAAAGGGTCCCAGGTTCAATTCCGGTCAAGGGCATGTACCACAGTTACAGGTGAGATACCAGTTGGGAGCCGAAAACCAGGATCACAGGCTTTACTAGGGGAAAGAGACCTGCCGGGCTGTCTCGCAAGGGGAGGACAGCAGCACGTGCAGAGGTGAGCACGCCTTCTGAGGGGCGGAATGAGAAGGAATGAGGGCTTAGTGAACTCGGCGTGCGCTGATGGGTGGCTTAATGCATGGTCCATTTAGGAACAAGGGCTGAGGGTATTTGGCAGGTGTGGATTGGCGGTTCAATGTATAGTCCATATAAGGTACATGGTTATCACTCAGGTATTTCTGGGCTGCAGGTCACGTCATACTCTGCCCACCAGTTGGGGGAAGGGAGGATCTATCAGCAGGTTCCTCCCCGGCCCAAGCCCTGGTCAGGGCTCATGCTGGAGGCAACCCATTCTCGTGTTTCTCTCACATCGATGTTTCTCTCTGTCTTTCCCTCTCTCTTCCACCCTCCCTAAAAATCAATGGGAAAATATCATATCCTCAGGCGAGGATTAACAATAAAAATAAAGAAATACAAGTCCCAATAGTAAATATTTTACACTTCATGGTGAATGGCCAGATGGTAATTACTCAACTCTGGAGCCAGAGCAGCCGCAAGCAATACCAATAAATGTGGCTGTGTTGCCAATAAAACTTTATTTACAAAGACAGGCCACCAGCTGGTGCACCGTCATCTGCCTTCCTCCGTTTTGGGAAACAGCCTTCCCCCAAGTGGCCTGACGCTGAGGTCTTCTGGCTCCGGGGCCTGAGTCAGCGGGAGCGGCGGGGAGGCCCGAGGAGCAGAAGGCTGCAAAGAGCAAATCTGCCAAACACTGAAGCTCACATCAACGACCTCCCCTGAGGGGTGGGGGGCCCCCCAAGCTCCTCGCATTTATCATTCCATCTTTCCAGGGTGGAAAATCTTGTCATCTGCAAAACAAAACCCCTATTGCACAAGGGCTCCCCGGCCACAGAGAGGCCCCGGGCGCAGCTGGCATTTCATTAACAAGAAGCCAGAGCCCGACTTTCTGGAAGTGCATCCTGGGCAGAGCCTCTGGGTCGCTCCTGTCCCGGGGAGATGAATGCAGCTCTCGCTCC